AACAAAAATATGCAAGGTTTCTTTCTAAAGAATAATAACATGAAACATGCAAATAAAACCAGTAGTAATTTTACGCAAAAAGGTTTAGAAACCACTCACCTTATGAGAATTCTTAGTTTTGAAGAAGATGATAAAACTTCTTGAATCTCCAGGCAACACAATTCCTCAAAAGCTCTCCAAAATTTCAAATGAAATCCTCCCTTTACTAAAAACCCAAAACCCCTATTTATACTTACCAAAAATGGCAAGTCGGCTAAACAGCCCCTTTTTCCACCCATATGCATGTACACACCCTCCACACACACACACACACATACATATATATATATATATATTAAACACACACACACACACACACACACATATATATATATATATACATACGTATTATGCATATATCCCTATGCATAAAAAAAATACACATACTTACATCTTAAATTTACGTAAGCATGTATTCACATAAACAATTAATCATATAATCACGTATTTAAATACCTTAGGTGATAACCAGGACCTAGTTATCACATTATCCACCCCTTCAAAAGAATTCTGTCCCGGAATTCCTTTAATCAAAGAGCCATGGGTATTCTGATCTCATCTTTGATTCCAATTCCCATGTTGCTTCTGGTCCCTTGTGAAACTTCCATTGAACCTTTACCAGACTGATTTCTTTGTTTTTCAACACCTTGATGTTTTGATCAATTACAGCTTCCGGTGTTTCCACAAAATTCAATTTATTGTCTAATTCAATCTCTGGCATCGGTATAGCTAAACTCGGATCGGCCAAACATTTCCGCAGATTCGACACATGAAAAGTGTTGTGAATCAGAGTCAACTCTTCTGGTAGCTCTAATTGATATGCTACTGGCCCAATTCGTTTACATATTCTGAACGGCCCTACATACTTCAGACTGAGCTTTCCTTTCTTTCTAAATCTGACAACACCCTTCCATGGCGAAATTTTTAACATCACAAAATCACCTATATCAAACTCAATCGGCTTTTGACGATTATCTGCATAACTTTTCTGGCGATCTTGTGCAGTTTTGATTCTCTCACGGATCTGTTCGATCTTTTCAGAAGTTTCTTGGACAATTTCAGGACCCGTCAGCTGTTTTTCACCCACTTCATTCCAACATAACGGTGTTCGACATTTACGTCCATATAACACTTCATATGGTGCCGCTTGAATACTGGAATGGTTACTATTGTTATATGCAAACTGTATTAATGGCAAATGATCTTCCCATGATCCCCCGAAGTCAATGATACAACTTCTCAACATATCTTCGAGAGTCTGGATAGTTCTTTCACTTTGCCCATCTGTTTGCGGATGATAAGTTGTACTTAACCGAATTTCAGATCCCAAAGCTTTTTGTAGTCCTTCCCAGAACTTGGAAGTAAACCGA